ACATCTAAATCAAGCAAGAAGGAGAATTTGCATACCTAGGATGTGTTTTTAACAGAGGGCGGAAAATACGACACCCGAATCCGAAGAAGCTTTGGGGCAGTGAATGATGTCTGCCAAAATATAAGCAAGATATTAAGAAACAGGAAATTTTTTTTCGAAAAAAATTAAGTGAAAAAATTACGGAACTGTCATGTAATATAAATCCTCCAATATAGCAGAAAATATTGGACAATCTTATCAAAGATGGAGAGGAGCCTTGAGGCGACAGAAATATGGTTCTACAGAAGGATGCTGAGAATACCATTAACCGAGCATGTAGGCAACATCGAAGATTTAGAGAAAATTGAAACCAAAAAAAAAAACACTTATACGTTGCATGAAATAAAGGCAGTCGGAATTTCTAAGGCAAATAATGAAGAAAAAGGGATTAGAAATTTTGACACTGTCATATAGTGATAAAGTGTCGTTGCCGTCACTGGAATTTGACCACTGATCACCAGTGATTAAACATTTGATTTCTAATAAGTAGACCACGTGATCGTAAAGGAAAGGTATATATGGGAATTAGCGTGGCGTCTAAGTAATCGCGATTCTCTCTACTATCCTCTATAATATTTCTCTATACTGATCACTTTTCGGATTACTATTCGGTGGTTACTATACGAACAAGTATTACTAGTGCGAGTATTATTGGAAGGTGTTACTTCTGGTATCGTGATTTCAAAGTCTCAACTACAACGAGTATTTTGAACGTAATAGCGAGCATTCGTTGACATCACAAAAGGGATACCGACGAAGGCGTCTGACATCACAAAAATAAGGCACTAGTTAAAGCAAATAATATTAGAAATGTACATATACGCACACACACACACACACACACAGAAATTATGTTATATTATTTCTCTTTAGCACTCTCTGTTTAGCTCCTCCTACTCTATCCTCTCTCTCTTTAATTCATTCTCCCTCTTTGTCCCTATCCATATATGCCCTTTCGCATGAGTTTGGTTGCCTCCTGACACAAATTATTGAAAAAAATATTGATGATCATAAGTGTTTTATAGGGATAAATTGTCGTTGCCGAGACTGGAGTTTGAACACAGATCACCAGTGAGCAAACATAGGTGATTCTATTTCTAATAAGCAGACCACGTGATCGTAAAGAATAGTATAAGGATAAGGAATATTTTGTTGACATCACAAAAGTGACAACGGGAGGGCGTCTGAAGTCACAAAAGACACCCACCGGTTGTATTGAAGACAAGAGAGACAAAGGAAAATAGTGTATAAGCAGCCTAACGGGCTTGTATAAATGCATGGCAGAACAGTTTGTCTTTTTGCTATCCTTCTTAGGATAGCAAAAAGACAAACTTAGTAAAGCTTCAAAGGAGGGCCACAACTACCCATGTCCTGAAGGAACACGGTGTGTAAAAGAAGTACCAGAATTCATTTTGTTTTTCTGAAAATCGCCCGAAAAGTTATACATCTTCAGATTTCTGTATCACATTTCGTCGTTGGATAACAGACAACCTGATGGTTAGATTTACACAGATGCTTAAATCTGAAACCCACCCATATATAACACATCTATTTCTCTGATGACAATGCATTTGCCGTCTTACGGTTAATACGCCGTGTACATAATGAAGAGAGATGGCTTTAGAAACTTTGACACTTGTATAAGGATAAAATGTCGTTGCTGACACTGGAATTTGAACACAGTTCACTAGTGAGCAAACACAGGTGATTTCATTTCTAATAAGTAGACCACGTGATCGTAAAGTAAAGGTATAAGCATAAGTTGACATCACAAAAGTGACAGCGCGAAGGCGCCTGACGTCACAAAAGACACGGGATTTATTGAGACAAGAGTGACAAAGGAAAATAGTGTAAAAGCCGTCTAACGAGCTTGCATAAATGCTTGCCAGAACAGGGCTTAAGAGGGATAGAAAAAAGACAAGCTTTACTAAGAGCTTCAAAGGAGGTCCACAACTACCTACGTCCTGAAGGAACACGGTGTGTAAAAGAAATACCAGAATTCATTTTGGTTGGTTTTTTTTTCTGAAAATCGCCCGAAAAGCTATACATCTTCAGATTTCTGTATCACATTTCGTCGTCTGCTAACAGCCTACCTGATTGTTACGTTTACACAGATGCTTAAATCTGAAGCCCACCCATATGTAAGATAACAATGCATTCTGCTGATAACAATGCATTCTTCGTCTTACAGTTAATACGCAATTCTTGTTGCTTTCAACAGGTCCCTTTTATTTATATTTTTTTTCGTTTTTTCTTCATCTGATTTTTTATCAACGCAGAGAAAACAGTAATCATTGGCAGCAAATACACAAATCATATCAATCCATATTTTTTAAAACAAGTTCAAAATATAAAAAAGAATAAATTTCTTGCGCTACAACGAACCAATCCGTAGAAATTTTATGTGTTCATTAATTTTGTAATGTTTACATGACGTATTGGTAATTAAACACGTAAATGGAAAATATTCCTTATTAACGTAAACTAATTTTTTAAATTTTTTTTTTATCAAGTGAAAAAATAAAATATAAATGCGTTTGACGGAAATTGCGTTATTACTTCGGCAAAACAAATTAGACGAAATTCATTTGGAATATATTTATACTAGCAGAGAATGACACCTTATAGATTTTAGGAAATTTTGTTTGAAATCTTGTTTGAGCCATATTTAAATAAACAAGGCCAATTTGGAAATAATTCTATAATAATTTTCAGTTTTTGAGAATTATTCAATATTCGTCTACACTTATCTATATATACTTGTTTCCAGTTCTTTTCTGATCACTTGGTGTGCATGTACACATTAACTCCATAATAGTATATTATGTGATGTCAACAAGCACTCGTTACCACTTTTGTGATGCCAAAGAATAATCGTTGTTACTTTTGTAATGCTTATTATAGTAGAGACTTTGTAATCGCAGATACAACTATAGTAACGCCGTTGAACAATGCTGGTGTCAGACGCCTTCGAATATCACTCGCACTAATAGTACTTGCTCGATAATACTCGCTCGAATCCGTATAGTGAAATAGTATAGAGAATAGCGTTCTGTATAGTAGAGTAGAAATTGTGATCGGAACAGTAATAGAGGATAGAATAGAGATAGCGATATTTAGTTACCCCCGACGAGGGTTACATGTGGCACAAGGCCGGTTTAACGTGGGATCTCAGATCCCGTAGGATCGGCCAAAAACAATCCCTCTTTGAACCCGCATAAACGGGTTCAGGGGCAGTTAACCTCCCCGAACGAGACTCTGTCTTCGGCGGAGCCTCGTCCGGGTTCCTCTCCGCCCTAAGGCAGAGAGTTCGACTGTTTAGCTGGAACAGGTCAACTGTAGACAGTTGTAGACAGTAATAGAGGATAGAATAATAACTGTAGACAGTAATAGAGGATAGAATAGAGGTGGCGATCATTTAGACGTCACGCGACTGCCTTATATAGCGTTTCCTCTATGGTCACGTGATCCGCTTAATGCAATAATGGGATCGCCTGTGTTTGATCACTGAGAGATCTTTGGTCAAACTCAAATGTCGGCAGCGACACGTTATTCCTACATAATAATATTATAAATGTCTACAAAGCTTAGACTTGACTCTTACAGGTCAAATTTCATTGAGTGTACGGATAAAAATCTACAATTATTATTATGCTCGGCCCTGGGGGCCAAACTTCCCCAAAGAAGTAGGGCTATGCTTAATATCTTCTCCGTCCCCAGAAAGTAATGGCGACAGAGCTTGTGCAATTTTTGTCCATAGTCATTTTTAAAAGCGGGAATATGATTGTAAAGTCGTTTTATTGCTTTATTTATTTCTAGTGGACTTGCGGACATATTACTTATACTCGGCTCCATTTGCCTCTTGCCCCAGACGTTTCCTCTCCCAGTTAGATGATATAGTGCAAATTCCTAACGGGTGAGTGCTTCTCAAAGATGAAATGTCGAGAGGGCTTACTCAATATTTCCTTAGACACATGTATATGTTGGATCCCACCCTAAAAGCGGCCTTGTGCCACATTCCGTTTGAATAGGCGTGCGTATATATATATATATATATATTCATCACCCAGTTGACATAACTCTAGACAATAGCTCCCTCAAGTGGTAAAGTTGGGGTAATTTCTCGTCGAGGGAATTGTACCCAAAGGGGAAGTGTCTAGAGGGCATAGTTTATTTTTTTCCTTATCACATTTACGTGCGTTGTTCCATTTTTAAGATCGATATTGTATCGCATTTAGTCCGTGTGAGCATGCGTATAGACAACTAATATTTATATGTTTTGCTCCGAGGATCCATACCCCACCAGGCATTAACTCCCCCCAAATGGAAATTTTGATAACAATTCCTGACGTTCACAAGAGAGAAGTGTCGAGAGGGATTAACAATTTTTCTCCTTAGTCCTTCCTATGTTCGCGTAGGGCTCCCATTTCAAACTCGTCCTTGTGTCATATTCTGCCTGAGTTGACGGTCAGATTAATACCAAAACAATCACATGCGTTTGATAACACCATTTTGTGTAATATTTGCATTCGGGGACTGAAAACGAAGTGCAATTCTCATTGAGATAGAGAATTCATCAATATTTTACGGCAGGCATTTCGCATTTCTGTATTATTTCATTTAAATCGGGAAGGAATCTAATTATTATTGTTAGTAACTATTCCGTAGAAAAGTAAATACTGAAATCAAAATAATTTATTGGAAAATATAAGAATACAAAAGAAAAAAATACTCTTGCTTCTGTTGAACCTAGAATAACGGGTCTAACAAACAAGGCCTTTACCAGATGAGCTACAATACTAGTGAAAGATTCCTTTGTCTGAATGAACAATATTTCGCAAGGTATAGATTAGAACGTATATGTGTTGTTTGAATATAAATAAAAGAAGAAATAAAAATTCTACTAATGATAGTTTATATCTTTTTAATTACACACGTGTTTCAAGGTGAAAAACAGTTTTTTAATAAGACATCCCTGTTTGGGAATGTTTTGAATGCTTTTTCTCTCCATAAATAGGCCGTAATTGATGGTAGATACGCGTTATAGGGAAGAGAAAAGTTAATGGAAATAAAGGGTGGGCGGTAGGAAGAAATTGTTGAAGAATTGGTTTGAAATGAAAGAGAATTAAAGAGACGGGAAAAAAAGCCGCATTGTTAAAGGAAAGAGCATAAGGAAACAGTGCTAATTAAGAGGGAAGAAGAAAAAGAAATGAAAATAATAATAATAATAATAATAACAATATGGGGCATAAGAATGAGAAAAAGCGTAGAGAAACAGAAAAAAGAAAGAAAAGTAGACGAAAGAGAAAAGGAAACACAAGAAGAATGAATAGAAGAAGAAAGAGAAAAGGAAATAAAGAATTGTAGAAGAAAGAGAAAATGAAACACAAAAAGAGGGAATAGGAGAAAGAGAAAAATAAATACAAAGAAACGCAGAATGAAAGAGAAAAGAAAGTGTAAGAAAAAATAAAGACAAATAGAAAACAAGCACAGGATGAAGGGAAAGAAAAAAAAAAGGGAAAAAGAAAATACGTGGGAGAAAGGAGCAATACAAACAGGAGAAGAAGCAAACGAAGAAAGAGAAAAAAAAACACAAGCTAAAAGAAAATAAAGTGAAACAGGAAAAAGAATGACAAGAAGAAAGCAAAAAGGAAACATGAGGCAAGGATAATGAAATGAAGTACAAAAAAAAGAAGAAGAAGCAGATAAAAGAAGCAAAAGAGGAAGCAAACGAAGAAGAAAAAAAGAAGAAGAAAAGTACAAGATGTAGCAAAAGCATGTGAAGCCGAAGATGAAACTAGAGAAGAAGCAAAAGATGAAATACAAATCAAGAAGAAAATAACTCCAGTAGAAGCGAAAAAAAAAAAAACGAAAAAAGAAAAAAACGAAGTCAATAAAGAAGAACGAAAAAGAAGCACAAGATGCAAAAGAAGAAGAAAGGGATGATGATGATGATGATGATGAAGACGACGACGACGACGACGATGATGGTGAAGAAGAAGAAGAAGAAGAAGAAGAAGAAGAAGAAGAAGAAAAAGACGACGCCGATTCAGAATTACTAGTATTAAAAGAGAAAAAGAAAGGGAAAAAACTGGACGAGAAGTACAAAAATAAGTAACAGATGGAGCAGAAAAAAGAAAGGCTCCAAGAATCTGAATAATAGAATAAGTAGATATGAAAAAAAAAAACAAAAAAAAAAAACAAATATAAATCGAAAGACTATAATAATAATAATAATAATAATAATAATAATAATAATAATTGTGATAGGCACGGAAACAATTAAAATTGGAAGAATAAAAAGAAACAAAAGAAAAGTTTCTTTTCTGAAAGGGAAAGTGTAATTAAAAAGATTGAATGAAGTTTTACGGTGTTAAAGAAAAATTGAGAAAGAAATCATTTACTCATTTAGCACCTGACTACTCCATCAAAATACGTTGACACGAAATCTATTGATGAAATGCTATCTTTACTAAACAGATAGATAGATAGATAGATAGATAGCTTCTATTATCTGCACGTACAATATAACATTTTTAAAATCAGCTTTATATAAAAGATACCTACACTAATTAGGAGGTGTCAGTAGTGATTTTACTCTGTGATTCGATTAATGCATGCGCGTTGTATACCTATGTTCCACAACTTGTTTACCCTCTTGACTAATGGATATTTCACTATTGCACTGGGCGTATGATAAAATAATAAAACAACTCACTATTAAAAGCACATATATACTTTTTTTATGGCGACAGAATGTCAAAGAAGCGAAGTCCTGCGAATGAATCCCAACAGGCTACTTAAGCAGCCCACATCTTTTGCATTTCATTAGTTTCTGCTGACATTGTTTTTCGTGCCCAAATCGTATTCGATGAGAGATATCTGATGTGAAGTTGGATGAATTGACCGAATTTGGCGAAGTTCACTTAGGATTTGTTCATTTTTTTTTTCTTACTTTTTAAAAAAAAAATAAAAATGAAACTGCTGTTGTATTTGTTTTTTTGTTGTGAAACGTAAGTGATGATCATTCTTGGCTGAAAGCCGAGTCGACAGTTTTAGACAAGTTACACTGATTAGATTTGAATGCTTTCAGTGTACGGGGAGGTGTGTAAAGCTTGACACCAGGGGAGAGGGTAATGAGAAACGGTTTCTATCCCGATTGAGGGTATCGAATAATTTTCAGAACTAGCCATTTGATACATCTTGTTTAAATTATAGATAACATTACCTAGCTGACAAGTATATGGTACCCAGTGAGGATCGAAACCCCTACAAGTGTAATAGACTACGAAAGAAAAACAAAAATAATCTCTGCTCCACATCGAAGTGCTAAGGGTATTTACTGAGAGCTTCTTTTGTTTCTGCATAAAGGAAATAATTGTAGTGTATTCGGGGGCAGCAAAAGTGATATCAAAGCGAGGTTGGTTCTTCGAAGTAAGTATATTGGAGATATTCAATGTGTTTGAAGAGTAAAATTATCAACAGCAGGAAAAACTGCCCACAAAAAAAAGAAGCGGGAAGAAATTTCAAACTACAGAGCTGATGAAAGCACACAGGAAGTGTCCCTCACTGCTACTGGCGCTTAACCCAAGAAAGCAACAAAAAAGGGAATATATCGACAGAATAAAGAAAACGACGTCAAATGGAGAACAGGGGCTAGCATCACTAAGACAGAAGGAAAAATGCAAGCAGTAACGGAAATCAGTTCTTACCGTAATATTCAAATTGATAACAACCATTGCAAATATGAAGGAGCAATGTTATCAATAAACTTGATGTTAGGAAATATACCATGAAAAGAAACAAAACCGCCAAGGTTGTTTATGACAATGGAATGAAGCAATAACTAAGAAAATTCTGAGGAGACTAAAAAAATGCCAACAATATATGATACATCAGCAAGATGTAAAAATTAGAAAATAAATTGCTATAAAACTAAATCGGGGAGAATACGAGCGAAAGAAATTAGCTACAAATGGCCGACTTTAAAAATACTGAGAAAAATCCCAACAGTAGAATGAAAAATCTATATTCCACAACAAAGAAAAAAAAATAATGGGAAAGCCCAAAAACTTGATGCTATAGAAAGAACACAGTTCCGGATTAAATTACAGGAACTGATAAAAGAAAACAGCAAGAAAGACCGGGTGCTTAACAAAACATACGAAACGAATCTGCAAAGGAACGAAGGAGGTGAAGTTGAAATAAATTTCAAGACCTTAAGAACATCCCTAAAAAACATTACTTACTGGAAAGCGAACAGAAACTATGCTATACGTGATTTTTTGTTTAATGTGATCTAAGGCTGTATATTGGTAGACGACTTAGGCAAAAGCTTGAAAAAATTGAAAATCACCGAATAGATAATGAAAGAGAAGATATCTCCGATCAAGCAAAAAATAAATAAAATTGAACAATTTCTAGCAAGTATAAACCAATAACATGCATACCCACAATTTGAATTCACTGACATCTTTTTACTCTATAGAAAGCCGCAATCTCCAGGAAGAAAATGAAATAAAGCCCAGAAAGGAAATAGAGGAAAGTCTAAACTGATCGATCCATTGATAAACTTAACAAGTTAAAACAAGACATAAGATGCTAGGCTTGTGACATGATACCACAAATCGAGTAATAGAATGACTGGATATATTAAAAACGTGAAACAATATAGCGAATTTGTTATAACCTAAGAAAGGTTACTGAATGAGGAATAACCAAAACGGAGGTTGGAAATGAAATGGTAATCTTTATAACATCAACAAAATACAATACTCGCCAGCGGCGTGAACTTGGTGAACCACTACTAGTGACAGCATATTACCTCCATTTACGAGTGTGTCCACCGTATTTATGAGGATTGGGGTATATCTATTAGTGTACATAGGTAGGGTATATAACAGATTTTTTTAGGTAACCGAAAATTGTAATTTATCACAGAAGGACAGTAGTTTCTTCCGTTGGAAGTAAAGTTCCTCCAAAGAGAGTTTTTTTTAGAACTGCTAATTTGCAGACCAAAGTCCTGCTGGACATTTCCCTGAACACTAAAATCTTAACGTCTTTAAGTTAAGGGTCCATCATTATCTCTGCTCACTATCTGCATTTCGTTTGTATTCTCTTTATCCTCACAGTTTTAACTTTCTACCACCACCTGTGTTGGTTTCGATCTTTAAGAATGACTACAAAACAACTGCCACCTTCCCAATATATGGGCAGAAGCACACAAATGCATGCTGGGATTTTTTCCTAGCCAACATAAAAGGCCGGTATTCGGTTTCATCTGACTCAGTCCCGGTCTGTCTTGTCTTGAAGTCAGAACGCTAGGTTCGCTTGTCCGAATATTCTTTTCTGTGTTAACCCCAATTCTTAGTTTGCGAAATTTTTGCCATAGTAGTTTCACTTTGCTTTATTATTATTGGCTTGCCTTCCATATATTGTTTGCTTGCTTCATATTATTTTCAGTCCTGTTATTTTTCTTGTTATTGCTTATTGCAAACTTTGTCAGTTGTCTTCCTTGAAGTGTGTGGTTACTTATTTTGCACTTGAACATGGCTACTCACTCCACAACCTATTTCACTTACATCCCACACCTCAGTCATTGTAACAGTAATCCTGTATCTTGGGTCGCTCTCCTATCTTGTATTGGTTGAAAGCAAATATGCCTTTGGGCTAATTTATAGCAGAAACCACCATTAGGACTGCTCATCTATGGAAGACTCTCTAACTTGGACAAGGATAAATTAACCTTTCAAGAAATGGTTTTCGGCCATATCAAATTAAAAACCGACTATCATCTGATCAGCAAAGTTAAGCAAAGTTCAGCTTGGTCAATACCTAGATGGGTGGTCGCTAGAGAATATCAGGTGCTATAAGCATGGATGTGAGAGTGGTGTAATGGATAACGGCATAGAATGTGAAATCGGAAAGCCGAGTTTGAATTCCAGTCGGGTTCATCCGTGCAAATACCCTTGCGAAAGGTATGAGTCTTCCTTTTCTCCTCCCAGGTATGGGTTAAACTGTAAGATCAGAAAAATAATTATTATCTCAAAATAAAATTGCTTGTAATCCCCATGACTGTGATGACTGGGTTTCTGTTAACTTGATGTGGCAATCACTCTAAGAGAAGGAAAACTAAACACGGAACCGGCACGATAATCGGTGGGTACCGTCAGGCTATCTTACCATAGACAGATCTGATTGTTTCACATGTTGTGTCTTCAAACCCGTAATGGTTTACGAAACTCCTGGTGTGACGTGACATAACGGAAAGAGAAACAGGAAAAAAAAACAGTAAGGGAATTTCAGAAGACAAGTTCAAGGAACTGAAGATTAATCAAGATGGGCATGATACGCCGAGGTAACTTAAAAAGATAAACTGATTTACAATGAATAGCAGCCCATGAGAATGCCAGAAGAACTAATCTAAATAGACTTGAATAAATAAAGCATATGAGGATATTAAATGCAGTCTATGTTGAGATAATATAGAGTAAAAGCAACCACATACTGAAAAAATAAAGCAAATTATTCCAGAAAATATCTCAAAACATATTTGAATAGGCATGGAGGTTATCCACGTGTAGCTATACAAGCCACTGCGTTTAGAACATACAGGGAAATGGTATGCATTCAGAGTAGAATCTCTTCTAGTGAATAAAACACATAAAAGCCTCTGTGACTTTAAAGTTCAAACAGATCTTCCAATCCAGTACAGGGAACTAGATCTCGATATTATAAGCAAGAAGAAAAAGTATAAGATATCGTATTTAGTTTCAGGTAAAATGGAAACAAAAGGGATATTTATACCCAGAATCCGAAAATAAAAAAGACAGCTGAAATTCGTAGAACACATAATGAGGAAGTTGTTTTGAAACGTTTGACATTCACAGGACCTATCGCAGGCAAAAGGGACAAGAGGTATCAAGCCAACTAGCTTCTGTAAAGGGCTGTCAGAACACACAGCTGGAGGGTTGGTAAACAGACAATCATTAACAAGAACGGCAAAGGAAAGGATGCTGTAGGGATCCATAATCCCTTGCGTTCTAAAGAGAAACGTCACATAGCAAAAGTTCCGGTAGATCATGAATATGGGGAGGAAGCTGTTTAACTATTAGGTTGGTGCAAAAATAATGACGTAATAATGTCGTTTTTTGACGTATTTTGCACCAACCTAATATCTCGACCTTGCCAAAGAACAGGCATGCTTGTGAAATTCGAAGATGACTATAATGCTAGTCATGGTCAAAGTCCTAAGAACAGCAACGAAGTATCTACAAAAAAGAAAAAAAAAGCTAGAAAACCTGGAGATCCCTTGAAGAACAGAAACCATTTCGACGACAACACCATTGATACCAGCTAGAATAAGGAAAAGACTTGCTATCACTTGATCTCCAGTGAAAGCTACCCCACTTTGCTGCTACGAAAGGTTAATGTTTACGAATAATATTACTACTCCTAGTAGTAATACATCTAATAATAATATTAATTAATTAAATATAACTGGAACTAAAGGCAAGTTTCTTCAAGTCGTTGTAAATCCAATAGCGAATTTTTAAGATGTGCTATGACGAAGTTAGTACTGAACGAGGGTCACGGTTAGAAAAAAGTAGCAGGTGCCAGCTTGGAGAAGTAAAGAAAAAAAAATTAATTAAAGAAAAAAAGGGGCCGGAGGTGGGTGCTGAAAATACCTTTACTATCTATCTCTTCGTGTAATGTAAGTCCAATCAACCATTCAGATCTTTTCTTTCAGCGGGAATCTTGCTTCTTCCTATTTTTAGGCGCATCCTAATTCTATTTCGATGATCGACTGTTCCCGCCGAACTGGAGAAGTTTCTTTTCCTTTCTTAGTTTTTTTTTTCTTTTTTTAAATATCAATTCTGTTCTCATCATCTCCTCCAATTTCTTCCTTCTCCTCCTCCTCCAATTCCTTCTCCTCCTCCAATCCTTCCTTCTACGACGCTCAGTTTTTCTTATACTGACTTACAACTCTTGACTTTATTCTTCTGCTGTATTTTTCTTTTAATTTTTTAGAATTATCTCTTTAATGGAGGGTTTATCTTTTTTTTAAATTTTCTATCCAGGCTATAATCCTTCTTTTTGCTTTCTATTTTCTTTTTATTTCGTTTGTTCCCCATCAACTTTGCTTCTCATTAGTTTATCTTCTTTTTTCATCATCAGCAGCCTGACATTATATATTCTTGCCATTATTTCTACTACTGCTTTGAATCTCATCTATTACTCCTCCTTTTCTTCTTATTTGTCTCCTTCTTCCTCTACTCTGAAACTCATTTATACTTTTTCTTCTTCCCATAATTCTTTTCTTCTTCCACTTTGTCTTCTTTTTCTTCTTATTATTATTATTCGTCTACGCTGAAGTTATCATGACGTTTTACTCTTTGCCTCCTCCTCCTCTTCCTCCCCCTCCTCCTTCTTCTTCTTCTTCTCTGAAATCCATTTGTTCTTTTTCTCTGTTTCCCATTAGTTTTTTTCTTCTTCCCCTTCTTATTCTTCTTCTTTGATTTGATTTGTTTGTTTCTCCTCTGTTCCAATTAGTTCTTTTCCTTATCTTCTTCTTCTTCTTCTTCTTCTTCTTCTTCTTCTTCTTCTTCTTCTTCTTCTTCTTCTTTTCCTTCTTCTTCTCCTCCTACTCTGAAATCCATTTGTTCTTCATTTTCTTCTTCTGGCATATTTCTTTTTTGTTGTTGTTGTTGTTGTTCTTCTTCTTCTTCTTCTTCTTCTTCTCTGAATTCAATTTCTTCTTCATTTTCTTCTTCTGGCATATTTCTTTTTTGTTATTGTTCTTCTTCTTCCTCCTCCTCCTCTTCATTTCTTTGTCTTCTCCCTGTCTACTTCTCTTCTCTTAATAAATTTCTTTGTCTTTCTCCTCCGATTTTCATCTCATTATCTTTTGTTGTTTTTGCTGATGCCTCCACATCATCTTTTCCCCTTCTTCTTCTTCTTCTTTAACACGCGCAGCTTTCATTCCATTTATTTATTATTTTCACATCAGTTTTACTTCACTACTCATTACTTCACGTATCTTCTCGTCATCCTTTGCCGTCCACCCAGCTTTTTGCCCTTTTTTTCTCACCCTGACATTTTGCTTTGTTTTTGGCTTACTATTGCTCAAATATGTCCTTTATATCATCTCATTTTTCACTGGTTTTTCTTGCCATATTTCACTCGAACTGAAACACTATCCTCGTTCATATTTTTTACTACGTTAGCAAAAGATCCTCTTTTGTAAACCATCTATTTACCTATTATCGTATACATCTAAAATCGACTTTAACTCTACAACGTTGCTTATACTGATTGTAGTCTCTTTATTAGCTCTTTCTATACAATTAGTTACTCGTTTCTTCTTAGCTCTCAAGATTTGTTTTTCTTTCTTATTCTAACCTTTATTCTTCTGCCTCATTTCTATATTGGAATCCCTCCTTTTGCATTTCATCTTTTACTTATCTACGCTTTTACCAGGTGTTTTAGTTTTCTAAGTTTTCTCCCTTTTATTCACTCGTCTGATGACCAAATAAAGAGTGATACAGCCAGTCCATATGCAGTGTTGACATCCACACGGTTTATATTTATAAACGCTCTATCAGCGACACCAAAAACTCTTCTACACATTATAGCGAATATTTTACACACACACACACACACACACACACACACACACACACATATATATATATATATATATATTTTATCATTTATGTTTACAAGCTCTCCATGTCAACGTTTCATTTTTTTATATCTGCATTGAGCACTTTTTGATACTACAGTTTCTTTGATCTAATTCAGCTCTAACCATTATTTTATATTATAATATATATATATATATATATATATATATATATATATATATATATATATATATGAAAATTTATCATAGTTAACCTGTAGAAACGACAATATTTTTTAAACGACAATAGGAAAACGTCCAATGTGGACTTTCTCAAACCAAAAAAAACGAAAAAAATTTTTTTTCGTTTTTTGCTTTTTGAGAAAGTCCACATTGGACGAAAGGAATCAGCAACTAGTTTTCCTATTGTCATTTATATTATATATATATATATATGTGTGTGTGTGTGTGCGGTGTGTGTGTGTTTGTGTGTGTGTGTGTGTGTGTGTGTGTGTGTGTGTGTGTGCAGTGTGTGTGTGTGTGTGTATGTTAGGCCGGATTTGTAGGTGTGTAGTCAGTAACGTGCCTTAGCAAAACATAAAGTGATACTGGTCATCTTCAAATTGAACGTAATTCCGTAAATGCAAGACGTAAACTATTGGAGTGTCTTGAGTCCACGTCTATATTAAATTGTTTCCTGCCATTTTCGATTTCCCCCTTCGTTCTTCTTTTATATTTACTGAGCTTAGCTTCGCTTAGTCTGATATTCATATTCACTTCTCTGTAGCAATGATAATGTCCTACTCGCTAAAAGTTATTCCATTGTGAGACGATCATTCGTATTTTATACGTATTTAATAAGTCAGAAAAACGCAAGTGAGTATTGAACGCACAACGCTGAGCTTATTACGGCACATAGCCACAGGTAGGGGACCCATTAATAAGTATTGAACGCACTACGGTAGTTAGCCTATGAGATTAACTCAAATATTACACTGCAGTATTTATTAAATTTCAGTATAGCATGGAAAAGCGGAGAAATTAAAATTAATATCAAAAGAAAAATTGAAAATCCTAAAACAATTATTAACGATAAAATCATTAAGAAAGGTTTAAACTGTGGAAATATAGGCTGGAGTTTATTTGAGCATTTGTCATGGAAATGACAGTAGAGTAGCGATTTGGGAAAGAGGCTACAGAATAAGCCTTTCCCTCACAAGAACGATTTTGAAACTCAAATCTATCATGGAAAGTGAATATTGAGTTCCAGCCCAGATGCGGCAGCAATAATCCAGTTTCGGATTAATCTGACCTTTGTAAAGTAATTAGGGTCTAATCTGACCTTTGTAAAACAGTTTGAATCTAATCTGACTTTTATAATGCAGTTTGGGTCTAATTTGACTTTTGTAAAGCAGTTTGGATCTAATCTGATTTTTGTAAATGCAGACTGTGTCAGATAGAATGATAAGCGATAGAATGAGTCGACCATTCTTTTCTTTTTTTCCCAGCATCTTTGTAGATAATAATTTTGTTACACCAGCGTAGGCATTCGATTTTATTTCTATGTTCTTGGGATTCAAATTTCGTATAGATTTTCAAATTTTTTTTTTTTTTTTTTTTAATAAATGAAAGTTGTAATGCTATTATTATCACGCGAACACACAGAGCCAAGATATTATTGTCGGTTTTATTGTACGTCTTTCTTTATTCGGTGTTCAGACTGCGCATCATGGAACAAATTAGGAGAAGAAAGTCCAATTATATTCCAAATAAACCTTGGCAAAAAAATACCATCATCACATTTTGGTTGTACGCATATTTTTTTTCAAAAGTTGACTGACATAACCGTATTGTATACATGTAATCCATATTTTTCCGTGAACCATATTAGTGTATCGACCTAGGCGTATAGTTTTCACTGTCTGAATTAATTCGTACTGTGATCACATTATCAAATAGATATTTACGCCCATTCTCTTATGCAACTGTGTATTTCCACCTGTTTCGATTCGCAAAAGATGACTGCTACTTGTCAAAATAGCGCATAAGAAACGGATATATTATTGTAAGTATATATGGAAAAAATAATACCTGTACACAATGTTTGATTTTTCGTTTGTTTTTACTGTCGTATAGGTTAGGCTTATTTGCATACGTTTATTTATTCAGTCATATTGATCTATAGGCTTTTATGAGTTTTTGGTTTCTTTGGTTTTATAGAATATATAAAAAAAAATGAATCATGCCACAAATACGTGCATGATTTGTCTTTTCCTAGGTATGTGACGTATAACTGTGAAGTCAACCATAGAGAGAAAGCAGCCAGGTGCATGTTCATTAATTTCAAAAGAATATAGATTAAACTCTCTCTCTCTCTCTCTCTCTCTCTCTCTCTCTCTCTCTCTCTCTCTATATATATATATATATATATATATATATATATATATATATATATATATATATATATTTATATATATACTTATATATAAGTGTGTGTGTGTATCTGTCTGTGTGCGCGTATATCTGTGTATACTATATATATATCTATATCTATCTATCTATCTATCTATCTATCTATAGATAGATAGATAGATAGATAGATAGATAGATAGATAAATAAATAAAAGTGAACATTGAAGTCAACACTCAAAGGCGACAGACTGTTTCATGCTAGACGCAATCGTCAGGCCGCCTGTCGCCTCTGAGTGTTAACTTCAATGTTCACTTTTATATTTATAGTTACATACGCTCTATTGCTGATATTAAGCATTTTGTCCCATAAATATAGCACACTTTAAAACTATATTTCTGCATATATATGTATAGATAGATAGATAGATATATACATACATACATACATACATACATATATATATATATATATATATATATATATATATATATATATATATATATATATATATATATATATATATATTTTGCAGGACAATTATTCTCTTGATTCGTTTTCTGTCCGGTACAGGACACTTACGACTCTATTTAGACATTTTGGGGTCTATCATTATTAACATGCATCGTCCTGCTCTGTATAGACAACGGGAGTTGAAATAAAAGTTGGCCCTATTCGGGAAACAATTGCATGACTGGTAAGAAAATTAGTAAATATTTTTTCTCTCCCCACTCGAATTTTCTGCTCTAGTTTACTAATTTATGCCTTAGTATCAGTGGTTGGTAATTATTTTTTTTCTTATCAACTACTTCGTTTTAAATTGTCGACGATTTTGTTTTTGAAGAAGTGTCGGCCGAAAGTCACCTAAAATCTTAAATCTTAAACGTTATACTTTAAATATCTATCTATCTCTCTATCTCTCTCTCTCTCTCTCTATATATATATATATATATATATATATATATATATATATATATATATATATATATATATATATATATGATATAAATATTAATCTAAACATTTTAAAAAGATACTGGGTTAGCCAAAATGTTTCGGTTTAGATGACATTTAATTTAAACTGTGTCACAATTCTGTAACACACACAAACACACACATAAACAAAAGACTGAAAACAGTTCAATGTAAAATATAAAACATATAAATTACAGAGCAATATTATTTTAACCGTGTCCGCAATTGGCTGTTTCGTATGCTTTCTCAAGTTTTGGTGATGGCGCATTAATCAGCCGGTGGAATGGAACAGAGAATGTTCAGTAGTTTATTCTGTATTTTTGGGAGCAACAGTTAAGTGGTTATGGAAAAAGTGCTAAAACTTTGAAGGCATGTCATTCACATAAATGTTATGTTACCCAGGTAACCCCTATGTATGCAACGGGGAACGCGAGCGGGTGAATAAAGTTTATAAATTGTAGCATACCAATCTTCTTAATCAAAAATTTACATTTGTGTCTGCATGCAGCCATTAATTCATGTACTTTATTTAACATCCTCAATCCATCCATGCTCTTCAAACTCGTATTTTTTTCTGAGATATGTAAGTGACATTTACTGAACTATTCGTCAAAAGCCCGTTCAGTACTTTAAATCTCGCAATCAATATTAGGGTCTCGCTTACCCACTTTTTAAAATTTCCAAAAGTAATTCGATAACGCCGTTGAGTTCTTATATTTTCATTGGCCGTACTCAGTTTATGGTTGTAATATCTTTTTTCTACTCTCCTTCTGCAACCCCAATATAAAACCTTTCGTCATTATCACTAAGTATTATGGCCGTATGCACCACATTCTTCGTTAAGCATTTAACTT